GTCAGGTGGGAAAGACTCCATTTGACTTTTCTCCTCTAATTCCAGGATGCCCTTGTGATCACGCCGGCCTCCTTGTAGAGCTCTGGACAGCTCTCCTCTCTCCCCCTGAAGATTTGGAACAGTGGTCTTCCGGGGCAGGATGTCTGGCTGGGAGTGGGCGAGAGGGTGGGCCCCTGGCAAGCTCTGGAGACTGCAATAAACAAGTACTTCACTGTGACTCTTGTCGCGTGGTCCATCGCTGTCCCAGCACACGCGTCACTTGACCCCTGGAGGGCTTGGAAGATGCCCAAGGCATGTGTTCAGACATCCCTGAGCCAATCCAGGCAGTGACTGAGACATCTGTGGGCCCCGGGGGAGTGAGGTGCAAGATCACTGCCCCGTCCCTGGGCTTCAGGAAGGAGAAATCTGGGTTTCTCCTCTTGCCTTCCGGGTCCACGTCAAGGCCACGTAGGTGGGGAACATGCGCCTGGTTGGACTTGGCAGTGTACTAAACCAAGGGCTCTTTGAACAAGAGGCTTTGATGGCTGGTGAGCGAGACTCTGAGGTCTGGCCGAGCCACCCGCGGGTTGTACGAGGCTGGAAGATGGCTCCCCTTCTCTGGCCTCGGTTTCCTTCTCTGTAGAGTGGGTGGACTCGCAGCCCCACATCGGAGGCCATGGTGAGGATTAAATGCGAGAGAGAGCACTTCCAGACCCATGGCAGGCCCTCGAGCCATGTCAGCAGGGAGGGAGGGTGATGTCATCCTTGCTGTGGTTAAGTGGACACCGGTGAGTCAAGCATTATCATAGAAGACCATTGTGTCGCTGACCTGCCTGGTGTCAGGAGACTCCAGGAAGACAATGGGGCTCCTGTTCTCCAGTCCCAGAGCTGTCCGAGCACAGGCAGCCCTTCTTCACGCCAGGAAGGGGCATGGCAGGGAAGTCCCAAAGCATCTAAAATGTCCACTGTTTCAACTCCTCGGAGGAGGTGAAGTTGAAACTACTTTAAGCCTGGGAGGTTTCCCCGTGAAAACCAGGCCCC